TAAATATAGAAAATTTAGCAGAATTATATTGGAAAGACAGTAATTCTTCACAAATTAACTTATAATGCAATCCATTTAAAAATTTTCAGTGAGAATTATTTTATAATTTGACTGAATGATACATTACATGAGTTAGAGTAACTAAAGTAGGAGAGCGGGTTAACCTACCAGAAATTAAACATTTTAAAGCTGCAATAATTGACATAGTGTATTACTGTCATAAACATCTACAGTAGGTCAACAAGCAGAAACTTAAAATATAATGAAGAAAGCACCATAAATCAATTCAGAAGAGATGGTGCTGGGGAAAAAAATATCCATTTCTGAAAAACTCTTGAAGGTTAGAAACAACACTATATAAACTTAAGATGGATTAAATATTTGGGTGTTCTTTTTTTAACAAATGAAAGAGTAAGGATCAAGAATAAGTGAGAATATCTGATCAATGGTAAAATGGCCACAATTTTAAGGATACTATCAATGAACATAATATCAAAGAAATAAACTGTTAAATTTTATTTAGAAAAAAACTAAAAGGCAAAAAGGAAGCTGGAAATATTCTCAATCTGTGTTCCAGATAATGTGAAAAAAGCTCTTAAGAAAACACAGGAAAAATGGGCAACAGACATTGCAGATAATTGACAGTAGAAACTAAATAAATGACAAACAACGTTTCCAACTTTCCTATTAATAGAATGCTTAAAGTATCTATGACAAGCTTTTTATTTGTTTTATCAGGTATATGAATTATAATGCTCAATAGTGGTAAAGTGTAGTGAGACAAGTATTTTCTAACTGTTCGTGGGAGTTTATGAGTGTTCTGAGTACCAACCTTGACAAAAATTCAACAATGTGTGTCTGGATTCTTAGGATTCTCATTGTTAACTTTTCCTTCCTACTCCAGCAGATATGTGATTCAAAATGTATAAACAAATGTGTTTATTGTAGGGTTATTCATTATAATAAAAAATGAAAGCAAACAAAATTCCTAATAATACAATACTGGTGAAATATAGGGTACCCCTATATATCTTATTACTAGGATCTTTAAAAAATCTAGTTTTTAAAGAGTAATTAATGACCTACAGAGATATAGTCAAATAATAAATGAAGAAAATAAGCATACAATGTTTATAGAGTTTGAACCCAGTAATACATATAAATCTCAACTATAATGAATGAGCACATCTCTCCTCTTTGCTGGATATTCTTGATAGAAAAAATATGCAAGTAAATAATTTGAGACATATTTGAAAAGAGGGGAGTGTTTGATTTAGAATTTTCTAAACTTGAGGGTTATTATTATTTTTTTGTTTTGATATTACTTTTCCCTGCTCCTTAAATTTTTGTTTGTTTGGGGGGTTTGGGGTTTTCTTCTCCTTGAAATTGTCTGTTTCTAGATGAAAGTTGAAAATGTTTAAAAGCTTTGCCAATGTGTCTAGGTTTTTCAAATGTAATCAGATTTTAGCAAGATTTTACTTAACTAAAAGTATTCAGAACACTATGCAAAATCATCTGGAGTCAAATAGTAATGGAGGCAATGATTTGCAGAGTAGAAAGAGAGAGAGAAAAAGATGAGATAGACCCTCAAAATCTAGACCCAATGAATTAAATCAGCTTGGAACATTTAAACAAATAAAGGATACCTATACTAGAAGTTTTCTTCTTCCACAATTGATTCTAAGGTCAGAATCTGAGGGGAAATGGCGCTATTCCACGTTCTAAAACAAGCTGCCAGCAATCGAGACCAGCCACTTCCCCATAGGGTTTACTCTAAAGCAACAGTGGTATTATCTGTATTCCAAGCAATTTCCAACCTCCTCTGTACTCCGTGTCCCAGGCAAGGTTAAAAAGACTCAGATTGGAAGGGATAGTAAGCTTTGCGGGAGTGCAGTGTTTTTGGTAAGGGACAGCTCCTTCTCCTTCATCTCCCTGAAGTCAAAAGTAGAGACGTTGAGAGAATCACTGAGAGTAAGTATATAGACTCCAAAGAAGGAAAAAGCATCTTCTCACTTCACTGAATGTTTGGAATCTGCAGACCTCCTTCACAGGTCTGTGTAGCTTTTGGAGAAGCCAGAAGAGCATTCTAAGCATTCCTTTGGCTTTCCATGCCTAAGCACTTAGAGTAGAAGAAGAGGAAGAACCATAAGATTAACCATACATAAGAAATCAACAAAAGGCTGTGAAATTGACTTTTCCTATTTTTCAACTTAAATAAGAGAGAATTGTCAATGATTAAAATTCATAAAATGAAGAAAGAATGGACTCAGAAAATAGCAAACATGAAATGTAATTATTAGTTCAAAAGTGAGTTTACTATGTTTTCTCCGCCAACTGATTGCTAATGACTAAAGTCCTTATTTCCAGCTTTCGTCTCTCCCCTGAGCTCCAGATCTCTTGATTTTTTAAACTAGCAGTTTCCCCAAAATATATGAGACAACAAAATATACTCTCAGCTGAAGTAAATAGTATTCATCTTCCCAGCCAGATAAGGTAGAAGTACTTCTAGATCAGATGTTATATTCAGGATAGGTTAAAAACAGACTCTGGTCCCAGTGTCCCAGGGATGAACAATGGATGTGCTTATTTCACATTGCATGCCTGTATCAAAATATCTCATGTACCCTACAAATACATACACTTACTATGTCCCTACAAAAGTTAAAAACAATACATCATAAATATTTGTAAAATAAGTGAATAAATGTATAAATGAATTTAAAGGAAATAGACAGAGGGGAGAATGTAACTTTACATGTCCCAGAACAGACTTTGAACAGACTCTTATCATATAGGAAAACTGAATATATGCAAGCATAAGTCCAATAACCAGATTCCGATTTACAGAATGATTGTAACTGTAGTTCTCTCAAGGCCCAGTCTTTGAACAGGCTGTGTCTTATTCCTGCAACATGCTGATCTATCTTCATGCTTCAAGACTCAGATCCTTATCTTCTCTGGGATGTCTCCCAAGCACTGCCCCAGAAATAACTTCTCCTCCTACAATACTTAATCATAATCCTTGGCTTACATGCTTGTTTCTTCTCATTGACTATGAAATCCTCAAGACAAGGTATATAATCTTGGTATATAACATATACATCTTTAATCCTAATGCCCAATAGAGTTCTTGGAAGATAGTAAGCTCCCAATACACATTTGTTAATTTGAAGCAAAAAAAAAAAAAAAATTACCTAATCATTCAAAAAACTGAATTATCACAGATGTCCATCTATAGTACTATATTAACACAATGAAATGCTATACAGCCAGGTTAATGAACAAACTAAAATTATATGCAACATGGATTATTGTAAACATAATGTTGTGGGGTTTTTTTGTTTTTTTTTATTATTATACTCTAAGTTCTAGGGTACATGTGCACAACGTGCAGGTTTGTTGTAAACATAATCTTGAATGAAAAAGGCAAGACACAAAGGAGTATAAGCCATATAATTCCATTTTCATAATATTCAGTACAGGCCAAATAATCAAAGTTGACAGGGTACTGGTTATACTTGGAGGTAGTGACTGCGAAGGGGTAAGAGGAGATTTCTGAGATTCTGATAATATTCTATTTCCTTCTCTGATTGTACAGTGTGTTCCATTTTTAAAAGACTATTGAGCTATACAGTTAAATTGTGCAGCGTTCTGTACGTATATTATACTTCAATTAAAAGCTTCCATGGAAGATATACATAGTTCCCAAAAGACAATAGAACAAAAAATTTTCAATTATTTTAAGCACAAACAATTGTGTTCAGCTGTCTTACAATCAAATATATAAGAATAAATTTATGGCTAATTAGCACAGAGTATATGCATTTTCATAATTAAAACTTCCACGAGTACAACATATGTTAAGTATTTAAAATCAGTTTTTCTCTTTCCTCAAATAAGGTTGTGAATCATAATTTGGAAAAAAGTTCAGCATGTAATAATTTAGTGATTTTATTTTAAACCAAGCTGAAGCCACATAGAGCAGAACTGCTCAACTGAACCCTATCCAAATCCTTGACCCACAGAATTAGGAGCAGATAAAATGGATGCTACTTAAGCAAAACAAAAACTTTGTTTATACTTTTGTCCTATAATTTTCCATAAGTGTTCTTTAATTAAACATTTTTAAACTTGCAACTTTAGGTTATATACTTACTTTAGTTGGTTCTCAACCAGGGACAATTTTGTCCCCACTCCCAACCCCCCAGTATATTTGGCAATGCCTTGAAACATTTTTGGTTGTCACAGTTCAGGGGCGAGGTGTTACTACTGGTATCCAATGTGTACAACAGGCCAGGGATACTGCTGAATACCCTACAATGCACAGGATAGCCCCTCACAGCAAATAATTATCCAAACTTAAATGTTAGTAATGCTAAAGTTGAGAAACCTTGCTCTGATATCATAACATAATGTTGTTAGAATTTTTATTTTATTCATTTTTATGTATGTATGTATGTATGTATGTATATATGTATGTATTTGAGATGGGGACTTTCTCTGTTGCCCAGGCTGGAGTGCAGTGGTGCGATCTTGGCTTATTGCAGCCTCTGCCTTCCAGGTTCAAGTGATTCTCCTGCCTCAGCCTCTGCAGTAGCTGGGATTACAGGTGCCTGCCACCAAGCCTGGCTAATTTTTGTATTTTTAGTACAGACGGGGTTTCACCATGTTTGCCAGGCTGGTCGCAAACTCCTGACCTCAAGTGATCCGCCCACATCGGCCTCCCAAAGTGCTAGGATTACAGGCATGAGCCACTGCACCCGGCCAGGAATTTTTGAATCAGAATTTTTCTTGACCAATTTTAATCTCTTATCATTTAGAGATTCTTGAAATATTGAAATTGCTTTGTTCAAAGTGAATGAATTTTCTTAAATTATATATTGTGAACAGCTTTTAAATTGCTTATTTTCAAATTGTTTGCCATGTTTGTTTTCCAGTTTGCATTAAAAAATAGTTTGAGAAATATGTTGTTTATAACAATTTTATTCTTCTTTCTCCAGGCTAGAAGAACAAAAGAATATCTTGTCAGAATTTCAAAGAGATTTAAATGAATTTGTTTTATGGTTGGAGGAAGCAGATAACATTGCTAGTATCCCGCTTGAACCTGGAAATGAGCAGCAACTAAAAGAAAAGCTTGAGCAAGTCAAGGTAATTTTATTTTCTCAAATCCCCCAGGGCCCACTTTTATAAAGAAGTATATGAATCTATTTTTTTAATTTAATCATTGGTTTCCTGCCCATTAGGTTATTTATAATTCCTTGCTAAAGTGTTTTTGTTGCAACTTTATTTTTTCTTAACCCTGCAGTTCTCAACCAGTGCACATAAGAACATATGTGTGTGTGTGTGTGTGTGTATTTATATATATACACACACATATTGCATCTATACATATAGATGTATATAATCTATGTATATAAATCACAGTTTTTATCTTAAAAACTAATTTGAAAATAATTTTAGATTTATTTGAGAACTTCAAAACTTAAATTTTTTTTTTTCTTTTTCTTTTTTTTTTTTTTTTTTTTTTTTTTTGAGATGGAGGTTCTTGCTCCACCCAGGGCTGGAGTGGTGCAGTGGCCAGATCTCGGGCTCACTGCAAGCTCCCCTTCCCAGGTTCACGCATTCTCCTGCCTCCAGCCTCCTGAGTAGCTGGGACTACAGGGCGCCCGCCATCGCCCGGCTACATTTTTTGTATTTTTTTAGTAGAGATGGGGTTTCCACCGTGTTAGCCCAGGATGGTCTCGATCTCCTGACCTCGTGATCCGCCCGTCTCGGCCTCCCAAAGTGCTGGGATTACAGGCTTGAGCCCACTGCCGCCCGGCCGTTCAAATAATTTAAAAAACTAAAGACCAGATTTGTGGAATCATAAAATCTAAATCTAAATGGGAAATCACTTTTTTAGTCTGTCCTGGTTACCTAACTTGGAGATTTGAGAAGAGACTTTAAAAAGAAGAATCCAGGATCACGAGGTCAGGAGATCGAGACCATCCTGGCTAACACAGTGAAACCCCGTCTCTACTAAAAAATACAAAAAATAGCCGGGCGAGGTGGCGAGCGCCTGTAGTCCCAGCTACTCGGGAGGCTGAGGCAGGAGAATGGCGTGAACCCGGGAGGCGGAGCTTGCATGAGCAGAGATCCGGCCCACTGCACTCCAGCCTGGGTGACAGAGCAGACCCTGCCGTCTCAAAAAAAAAAAAAGAAGAAGAATCCATTTTCTTAGGAAGATCTGGATTGCCAAATCAGATATCACTACTTCAGCCTCTAATTAAAGGCATTATATCCCCCCAAAGCAATGTTTTTGTTTTAGCTTTGTTGTCTGGAGGGTGTAGACGTGGTGTTGTTCAACATTCCATTTGGTTGAATAGACATCCAGCTTATTCAGTGGCTTTTTCATGCCTTTCCTACTGTGATGTTGCTTATTACGGATTACTTCCCTTGGCTGACTGACATGCTCTGATTGTGGCTGTTGGATTAACTTTCATGGTTTTAGTTTTAGGAAAGCAACTCTTTTGGTCTATTTCATTTTAATTGTCAACAGAAAGGTGAAAGGGGAAGAGAAATTAAATTTAATCATTCCCTATTATGTGCCATTATTAGATACATGTACAGCGCCACTATTTTATTATTTAATCTTCATATCAAATTTTGACAATGGTTGCCTATCAATCCTCATTTTACAAGGTCACATAATCAAAGGGAAATGAAATTGCTCCTTTACAATGATTCAGTTGCCTTATACATGTAAATCAGAGTCCAATGTCAAACATTTATTTCTGTGAAACAAGAAATTTACACACCTGAACAGAGAAATAAAGATAAAAATAAATAATGGTGTAATTCAATAAACAAATATGGAGCAACTGACTATACATCAGATGTTTTACTAGCGTTTTGAGATTCAAAAATAGAAAAGGAATGGGAATCATTTGAAGATGGTTATACTCTAGAACAACTGAACTCAGTCTATTCTTGGAAATTTATTTTCTAAATGTACTGTGTCATATATAGTAATATAATTGATAATCACTTTGAGACCATTATTTGTGGCATTTCTTATATAATTAATATATAGATGATTCTATTTTTCTCCTGAAAGAATCTAGATCAGGCCGGGCCGCGGTGGCTCAAGCCTGTAATCCCAGCACTTTTGGGAGGCCGAGACGGGCGGATCATGAGGTCAGGAGATCGAGACCATCCTGGCTAACATGGTGAAACCCCGTCTCTACTAAAAAAGATACAAAAAAAAAAAAAACTAGCGGGTGAGGTGGCAGGCGGCCTGTAGTGCCAGCTACTAGGAGGCTGAGGCAGGAGAATTGTTGAAACCCAGGAGGCGGAGCTTGCGGTGAGCCAAGATCACGCCACTGCCACTCCAGCCTGGGCGACAGAGTGAGACTCCGTCTCAAAAAAAAAAAAAAAAAAGAATCTAGTATCAGTGCTGTCAAATAGAACTTCTGTGGTGATGAAAATATTCTGCATTATCCATTTTTGTAACAACTAGTTATTTGTACCTTTTGAATGCCTGGAGAGTTGGTAGTGTGACTGAGGAACTTGAGATTTTATTTTAGCGAATTTTGATTAACTTAAATGTTGATAGTGTCGTATGGCTAATGGGTACTGTAGCAGACACTGTAACTCTAGATGACAAAAATGAATAAAACACGGTTGTTAACATCATGGTGGTTTTGGAGGTCTTGGGAAAGGGTATACACTATATGATGGTGAATGAGTAAGAGAAATTTAGGGATATGGAGTGAAAAATGAGGATTCTAGAATGAAACTACCCAAATTTGAACCACAACTTTGTTGCTTGCTAGATTTGTGTCCTGGGAGCTGGTATTTAACCTCTTTGTCTCAGTTTCCTTCCATATAAAATGAAGATAATAGGATCTACCTGATATAAGTATTATAACATGAAGATAAACTACTAAACATGAAAAAGTTAGCACAGTGCCTGGCACTGTGTATACTGAGAGTAAACATTCTCAATGTCAGTTACCTCTTAAGATGATAATGCAGTTTCTCAGTGGCAAGCTACGGTATGCTATGGCATGCTATGATACCCAAGAGGTTGATGAATTTACTCACATTGTTCTATTTCTGATAGAGACATGTTTTCAGACACTAACTTTATTTGGAGTGTTGCTTTACCATCTCACATTTTTCTCTTAAAAAATTATGAGGGATAAAATAATCATTTTTTTCCTGCAAAGATTGATCTACTGGGGAGTGAGTGTTTCAGTCAATCAGCTCTGTGCTCAAATAGAAAACTGTTGGTATTTGAGGTACCACTGGGCCCTCGGTCAAGTCGCTTCATTTTGATAGATTAATCAATAGAAGCGAAGACAAGGTAGTTGGAATTGTGCTGTAATTCATTTTAAACGTTGTTGCAATGTCTGTTTCAGTTACTGGTGGAAGAGTTGCCCCTGCGCCAGGGAATTCTAAAACAATTAAATGAAACTGGAGGACCCGTGCTTGTAAGTGCTCCCATAAGCCCAGAAGAGCAAGATAAACTTGAAAATAAGCTCAAGCGGACAAATCTCCAGTGGATAAAGGTTAGACATTAACCATCTCTTCTGTCACATGTGTTAAATGTTGCAAGTATTTGTATGTATTTTGTCTCCTGGGTGCTTCATTGGTGGGGGAGGAGGCTGGTATGTGGATTGCTGTTTTGTTTTGTTTTTCAACCTGACCGTTTGCCTTGACTGTATGTTTTGTTGTGGCTAGAAAAAATGATGATGGTGAATGGCTTTACATTAGTGACCAAATGCCATAATTTATACTACAATTTGTTTGCCTAAATTATTCTGAAGAATTAGACTGAGGAAATGATGAAGTATTTAATTCAGTGGCCAGGTATATACTGACAGTATTGAATCTAAAAGGACGTGGTCTGGTTCTAGTTAAACAAGTATCATAAATCAAAATTAATTATTCACACCTAGATTATAGATTTAATAATTAATGTACACTAACGTTCTCCACAAGTTTATTTACTTACCTACTTATTAACTCGTGAGTTTTCATCTTTCCACCTTGAATACTATATAAATCTAATATTAATACTATTTATTAAATTAATGCATATTTATTTTATATAAAGCAAGTGGTGCATATGAATTTATAATAAAAAGCAACATCAATTGATCCAGCACTATTTATTCAAAGATAATCATTTCCTCACTGTATTGTCATGGCATCTTTGTTATAAATCAAGAGAACTTGTATGTATGAATCTGTGTCTAGATTCTATATCCTCTTCCATTTGATTAACTCTGTACTATAACAGTACTTCACTGGCTTAATTACAATCTTTTCTTAAAAACAATTCTACTGAGCTATAATTCACATACCATTTAACTCATTTTAAGTGGACAATTCAATGGTATTGGGATATTACTTTTTTAAGCTGTGATAAAATATATAACATAAAAAATTGTCATTTTAGTCATTTTGTGTGTACAATTCAGTGGCATTTATTACAACCATCACCACAATTTATCCCGCCCCCCAATTTTTTTTTTTTCTTTTTTGGAGATAGAGTCTCGCTGTGTCGCTTAGGCTGAAGTGCAGTGATGCGATCTCGGCTCACTGCAACCTCACATCCCAAGTTCAAGTGATTCTCCTGCCTCAGCCTCCTAAGTAGCTGGGATTACAGGCGCCTGCCACCATGCCCAGCTAACTTTTTGTCTTTTTACTAGAGATGGGTTTTTGCCATGTTGGCCAGACTGGTCTCAAACTCCTAACCTCAGGTGATCCGCCCACCTTGGACTCCCAAAGTGTTGGGATTAGAGGTGTGAGCCACTGCGCCCAGTCACCAAAATTTTTATTACTCCAACCAGACAGTCTGTAACCATTAAGCAGTAGTTCCCCTTTCTCTGTCTTCCCATCCACTAGTAGCCTCTGGACTACTTTCTGTTTCTATGAATTTGGCTATTCTAGATCTTTTACATAATTGGAATTGTATATTTGCCACTTTGTGTCTGCCTTACTTCACTCAGCATAATATTTTCAAGGTTCATCTATGTTGTAGCATGTGTCAGAATTTCACTCCTTTTTATGACTGAATAATATTCCATTGTATGTATGTATGCAATCATTTTATTTACACATTTTGGATCTGGTTGTGTAAACCATCCAACTTTGTTCTTCCTATTCAAGATTGCCTTGGCTACTTTTGTTTCTTTGAATAAATTTTAGAACCATGTTGTCTATTTTTACATAAAGCCTGCCAGGATATTGATTGAAATTTTGTGAATCTGGAGCTCAATTAGCATCTTTACAATACTGAGTCATCTAATTTGTGAACATCTCGAATTGTGTCAGGTTATTTATTATACTTTTTAAATTGATGATGCTGACATTCTAATAACAGATCATTTACATGACTGATAAAATATTTAGGAACTAAAATAAGTACCAATTTTATGACATTAAAACCATAATGTGCGCTTAAGTCTCTGTAATTCAAGCAGGTAGTTATTTGGGGGGAAAAAAAACACCCTTCTTGGTTTCTACCTTTAATGATTGCAAAACATCTGTGTAAAGATATAGACTTTTATGTATGGAGGGAAGGTGGTGTCCCAGCAATTAAATTTTACATCTACATAACAATGCAAATGAAATCATCCCTCATAAAAAGAGAACAAGGAGGCAGGATACCCAAAATGTCCTACAATATCTCAGTACATCTTATGGCAAAAAAAAAAAAAATTATAATTGTAGGAATTATGAGATAACTATCTAAAATATACAATAGCAGGTTTGTGGATTGTGAAAGAGTGAAGGTTTTGTGTGTTCTGAAACAAAATAAAAAGTCAAATTTTTATGATAGAAAATTAAAACTGAGGTTACGAACACCATCATGTATATATTTATGTTACTACAGCATCCATAATATCTGTTTCTTATGTCAAAATTATAATTTTAATGCAATGTCTTTGCCATTAAATGCCACAGGATTTGGAATTTTATTCATTAGTCATATTAAAATTATTTAATCATCTTTTCTCCATCCATATGCTCCTGTATCCCTGTTAGTTTAGATTTAGAGATACAAAGGAAATGATCAGTACCAGATTTAGGTAAATAACACAAGTTTTTTTTAAAGTTAAAAAAGTGGCTTATAACACTGGCAGACCATTTTGATCTTCATTAAATCTCAAGCTCTTACTTATTACAGGAGGGTAGAAATAAAGCGGACCCCCTCCCTGTGTTCTCGAGTCCTATCCTTCATCCAAAGCTTAGAGTGGGTGATATAATTAGAACTAGTGGGTCATAGTTACTGGGACATGAATATGTCAATTCCTTAGTACATAGTATCTCCAGATATATCCTAATATCATAATCAGTTGGCAGGTGCTTTCTGCACAGCTAACTAATATGCTGCATTCTGCATATTGAGCCAACTGACCACTTACTTTTGTACCTTTATTTTTTGAGACGGAGTCTCACTTTGTTACCCAGGCTGCAGTGCAGTGGCACGATCTCGGCTCACTGCAACCTCCACCTCCCGGGTTCAAGCGATTCTTCTGCCTCAGCCTCTCGAGTGGCTGGGACAACAGGCGCACGCCATCACACCCGACTAATTTGTATTTTTAGTAGAGATGGAGTTTCACCATGTTGGCCAGGTTGGTCTCGAACTCCTGACCTCATGATCCGCCCACCTCAGCCTCCCAAAGTGCTGGGATTACAGGCGTGAGCCACTGCACCTGGCCTGTACCTTTATGTTTCATTGCTGAAGAGAGAAAACAGCGGGTGAAGATAATATAGCTATTTCTTTAAGGGAGTGGTGGACCGTATAATGAGTTCATTGCAAAAGCGTGTTACCTTGCCTTGGCCTGGGTAGCTTCTCTTTAAGCGGATATGGAAAGGGTTGCTTTAAACTGAATATAGCCATTAGCATAAATTTATGGGTGCCTTCATGCAATGAAGGCTCATGAAATGATATCCTCATTCTTGTCTAATACATAACTTGACCTTTTACAGTCTTTAACAATAATACCCATAAGAGCCACAAAGTGGGGATGTTATTAAAGCTAGCCTCTGTGTTTCTCTCTCTGAGTATCTCATTCTCTGATCTTTATACACACTTCTGACTCAGGTATTTTTAATATTTATCCCTCTTCATATTTCTTTGTATTTTCTCTGAACATGCATGTGGGTGTAAGAGGCTCTCTTGCCATCATCATCGCTCTCTTCCTCTATGTTTCTCACTGTTATGCTAATTTTCATCTATGAATTGACACCTTACTGTATTTATTATGAATCTACTTTTTTTTTCTTTCTTTCTTTCTTTTTTTTTTTTTTTTTGAGACAGAGTTTTGCTCTGTCGCCCAGGCTGGAGTGCAATGGTGCGATCTCAACTCACTACAACCTCTGCCTGCCAGGTTCAAGCAATTCTCCTGCCTCATCCTCCCACGTAGCTGGGATTACAGGCATGCACCACCACGCCCGGCTAATTTTTGTATTTTAATTAGAGACAGGGTTTCACTATGTTGATCAGGCTGGTCTTAAACTCCCGGCCTCAGGCGATCCGTCCACCTCGGCCTCCCAAATTGCTGGTATTGCCAGTGTGAGCCACCGCACCTGGCCATGAATCTACTTTTCTATATGCATATTTGCCACTATTTTTCTGCCCCGGTTGTTTATGTAACACATTCTCTTCTACTCTCCTTCCCTGATCCCTTTAATCCCAGTTTCATTTCCTTTCATGTCTTTTTATTTTGTGTCCCCTTTCCTCATTCTTTATTGCTCTTATACATGTTATATGTGAGTATTTTTTTAACTACCCATTTATTTAAAACCAAAATATACTTTGTCATTCTTTATTTTTGAATCATATTGTATCCTTCCTTAATTTAAAAGGTGAAAAGATGGAACATTCATTTTGCAGGCTCAGAATTATTTAGGTAGAAGGAGCCTCATGAAACTAAATTATTTTCACATCTTCTAGATTAGAACACCGAGTCCTAGAAAGGTTATTGAGACCATGTAGCTCTCTATTTAAATATAAAAGTGATTCCAAAATAAAGAATGGGGGTTTTAACCTTTTGGTGAAGCTCAAGTGATTTCTATGTGGATAATACCCTAGAAAAAAAAGAAAAAATATGGATTCCCATTTCATTCCATTGCTCCTTTAAATATTAAAATGGGGATTTATTTTCTTTTAAAAAAACTATATGAGTTTTTGCTTTGCTTTCTGCCCTTTTTGAGAACTAAATGCTAGGTTTTTAAATTACTTTCTAGAACCTTCTCTACTGTGGAACATTTATGATTGTGTAATATAGCAAAACATGTTTATGTTGTTTCAGAGTTAGTTAAAATCCTATTTTTAATGTCAAGTAATTTTACAGGTAGTATATGTTATGCATTCCTGTTTTAATAAATATATTTTCATTTTGTTAAATAAATTTAAGTTTTCATCATATTTTACATGTAAACAGTAACTTACTATCTACACGTAAAATACCATTTACAAATAAAATATGCTGTTTAAATGTAAATAGTAAATTACTATTTGAACTTGTTACTGCCCAGACAGTATAAAATGGTGCATATAAAGAAAAAAGCATTTTGGAAAACAGTTAAGAAATTTTGCTGGAAAGTGAATTTTACTTAAGTGCATCTTTAAAAATCTTATTCACTTTACCTAGGAAAAAGATAGGTTTACAAATATAACATATATAATGAACCTTTAATATGGGAATAATTTTCGTAATATTGGTAATAGTACAGGTATTATTTTCAAAAAATCACAAAATAAAAATTATGAAAGTAAAAATATAATGCAACTCCTAGCAAAACTATCTTCCACAATATACAGTTGGCTGTATCTAAATTGCCAGAAATCTGGTTCATTTTGTATTAACCTTTAATCATGTTGCTTCTAAATATGTATCTGAGGAGTAAACACTTTAGATTTATTTTCATTTGTATAAGGTAAATAAA